TATATATCACAAATATTCTTTACTAATTGCTTTTTTAAAAAATAAGTTTTAATTATTTAATATAATAATGTATATGATACAGCAAATATATGTATTATATTATAATATATATTTACATAGTTTAAAAGCCAAAGCCAAATACAATTAGAGGGCTTAGAGTGCCCTACCATCTCTAAGTCCTACTTGGAAGAAACCATTGTTAATCTTTTTGGTCATTTTCCTTGGTATTTATCTCTTTATTACTGAATACCATGTGTAGACTGGTACTTCTTGATTAATCAGGTTTAGGCATTATCTCTTCAGTTCTTGTCATGGTAGGTGGAGCTCTAGCTTCCCACCTTGCTGTCCTACTTTCCTTCATCCTATAACGTTACAGATATTACAACTTTTGGTTAAATTAGTAATCAGTATCTCATTATTTTGTTTATGAAGATAATGTCTCCTGCTCAGCCACATAGTGAAATTCAGTGCAGCCCTTTACTTTTTTTTNGCTGTTAATCTTTTATTTTTCACTTTTTTTACATTCTCATTATTTATATTTTCCATTTCCACTTTTTTTACATTCTCATTATTTATATTTTCCATTTCCATTTCCATTTGCAATATAGATAAAATACATAATCTTTTTTGGTAATACCACCAAGGTCAAAGGTTCGGATCCTTATACCAGCCAGCTGCAAAAAAATAAAAAATAAAAAAATAAAATAAAATAAAATTGTTGAAAATAACCCGGATCTACTGATTTTTTGTTTTATAATTTTAGAATTTTAACTACCAGTATTAAATCACTATGTTTTCTAGCTAGAATGATAAAGTTTGGGTAGGTGAGGGGGGGATTTTTATGGTAAGTGGAATTAATCCTTTAGATAAGAAAAATTCAGTTTTTTCCCCTTTTCCTTTTGTATAGTATCAAAGGTGCAGCATCTGGGACAAATTGCATGAAGAGCATATCAATGCAGGACGTACAGTTCAGGTAAGGCTATTATATTGTTTCTGGTAAATCAATATGAAAAAGTCTTAAGAAAATTTTGCTAAAATAATACCTTTGTAGCTGAATCCTTTTATACATATTTGTTACTATTTCCATAAGGATACATTTTTAGCAGGAATTGCAGAATCACATGTCATGCATATTTTAAGGTTTTGTTTCATATTATCAAATTTTCCTCCAGAAATGATATATCAACTTACACTCTCACAATCAATAAATTTTCCAAAAACCTTACAACATTGGTATTACCCATTTCTCAAATATTTGCTAATTGGTAGGTTAAAATAATGCTTTGTTGTTTTAATCTGGATTTTTTTCTTATTATTGCTTTGAAGGGTGAAAGTTTTTTCATGTGTGCCTTGGGCAGTAATATTTCTTTTGTTAGTTGCCTATTCATGTCCCTTTCATATATGAGTATTATATTATGCTGATGTCTTTTGTAAGAGCTCCTTATAATTTGAAAGATATTGATCTTCTGTCTATAGTATATATCACAAATATTCTTTACTAATTGCTTTTTTAAAAAATAAGTTTTAATTATTTAAT